GAATGGTTATCTGCCAAAACCAAAAAGGATTTTCCTATTTTGATGACCCTAATGCCAGTGGAAACACAGGAATATCCTCAGTAGAAGTATAATTAATATTTTTGCAGTTCACCTATGCTCATAGACTGTGGTGGATAGCATAAATTCAGAAGGATGTCAGTTACAAAGGAAAAAAAAACAGGACTTCTTCATAGCATTGTTGATTTTTGGTTTGGAATTTGAAATAGTATTTTTGAAAAAATGTGGCATAAGCTACTTTAGTAGCTTTCAAAGCTTGCAGTCTGATGCTGATGCTTATACCTAACCACTTGTTTTATCGTTAACCTAGTTCATAACCTGTAGAAAATATTTTACTTGCCTTCCCATTTCCCATGTTTAATAATACATTTTAGATGTATAGGAGTGCATGTATACTGAGCAGTATTTACATTTACCTCTGTATTTATTTTTTCTCCAGTGTGTGGGTAGAGTATCCCATAACTACCCACGGGAAGGTTAATTTTGAATTTTAGGAAATAACCATTTGCTAATGAACTCAAACTCTAAACCAAGCATATGCAGAAGTTTTGTTTTAAGGAATATATGGGAATTCATTCTTTATTTGGAAAGATGTGGGCTGACGTCTTTTGCAAATTATGTTTTATGTTATTAATAAGTATCTTAAAGCTGAAAATGAGATCCATTTCCAACTTCAAACTATTCTATCTATTTGTACATGTGGCAGTTTATTATAGTAGTATTGTTCAAGTCTACAAGCATTTTATTTCATTTTTAAAACTATTTTCTCTAATCAAGTTTGAAAATGGTGCTACATATAAATAATTGCATGGATTTGCTAGCGGACACTGTAAAAGAGGTTAGAGACTTGAACATTTGGACCTTTCCAAAGACTTGACAGTTTCCATTTAAGTAGATTTGTATCAGGAGCTCTGTCTTGAGAAGAGGTAGACTATAACAGATCATTCAAGGTAAGACATTAATGCAATATTTCACAAAGCTCTAATTTATGTTCCCATGTTATTTCATTTGCATTTCCATTTCCCCTCGTTCCTTGTGTTACCTTGCCGTGCCTAAATGGTGTTATAACTCTGTCTTTTTCCTGTGAGGCATAGTTAGGTTTTGATTCTGCGAAGATTTACATGTGGTAAGCCTTACTGGCTTCACTGTTAGTGTTAAGTAGGTTCATGTGTTAACAGGATGAAAAAGCTGGAGAGAAAGGCATATGTTCACAGGAAATCTACAGATATCCACAGTTCTTCCCTTTCCTCTGAGGTCTTTTTGACTTTTCTAAAATTCCTGAGACACTGCTTAAGTGCTTCTTTTCTTAACTCATATTCCCTGCACAGTTTTTTCCAAAACTTAAGAGGAGAGAAAGAGAATTAAGGGACAAAAGAGAGAAAAAGAAGGAAGGAGATGAATTTGTGATATAATTTTACGTACTTTAAAGACAGTAACTCATGAGTGTGTGGCTATTTGTAAATCATTTCACCGTGGGAATGTCTTCAGCTAGGAGGTAGCTAAAGTTCCTGCGCTTACGTAGCTGAGGCATGCTTTAGAGTTTTTCTTAATGACTCCCCAGCATTACTGTACCAACCCCACTGGAAAGCCTAGGTCAACTCTACTTATCCAAAATAGCTGCTCTGGTTTTGTGAACTGGCACCAGTTAGAGTTCAGGATCAGTTCAGGGATAGATTCCTTGCTGGGAGTTAACTAGGAGTAACCTTAATTAATTCAATCCCCACACTTTATGCTTGTTTTTATACTGAAGAACAGGAATGTTGAAAAACATAATTATTATTCTGTTTGGTGCATGTAAGTTATGTTTTGGGGCATAGCAGTTATAAATCTGCCAGGAGAAAAAAAAAACTTGACAGTCGTGATAAGTTTTGTCATTATTTGTGTATTAATCTTTAGTCTGCTGTGGCTAGGCTGTTTTACCACTGTATATTTTCTTTATTTTCCTTCTTCAGTTGTATTTCATTTGTCTGGAAAGATGGCTATTGTTCCATAACAAATAATGTGCTCAGGCTGTTCTCTCAGTTCAAGCTCTATTTGGCTTTCATTCTGAGGAGGACTGACCTTTTTCAGTACACGTTACAAGAATGAGCCACCGTCGTATCACACATAATCGGACCAGATATTAATGAGAAGTCACTGAGATAAGTATTTGACTCAGGAGAAGAGTAAGCAACAGATAAGCATCTAAGAAACCAAGATTAAGGTTCAGAGAAATGAAAAATGAGTAGTAAAAGATATAAATTAAGGAGGACCAATAAGAAAAAATATATTTGTTTACAGAGTATTTTTACATAGTCACTTGAAGCTTCAGTGACTCCCAGCATGCCTGCTGTCTAAGCAGTAAACTTTAACAGTTCAAGAGATCTCCTTCAGTGTTCCCAACACACGCTAAAACTGAGAATTGTCTCTCTGAGCCTGGGCTGTACTTTTTGGTATGGTCATTTTTTGTCTTTTTTTCTTTTTTGTCGAAAAGGCAGGCTGTGGTGTTGGTAATGTGAGAAGTAAAATGGTGAAAGAGGCGGTTGAAGTTATCAGCCAAGGTGGTTGTTTGTTTCCCCAATCAGAAATCCTGTACATATATCTATCTGTCCTCTGTAGAATATTTACCTTGTGATGGCTCTAGGAAGAGGGTCCTTCCCACTGTGAGATGAGCTAAGTTTCTGATTTCCTTGATATATATTACTTTAGAGTGGAAGAAGGGATCTTTTCCATACTGTTTATCATCACACTAGTCTTCCCTAACATATCCTCAGATTTATTGTTGCAACAAGCAAAATTGCCAAGGTAACATAAGGAATTGATTCATTGTTTAATTTCCTGTGGTGAACTGTGCAGTTGTGTGGGTTTTGTTTTCTTTCTTTCTTTCTTGATAGCATCATTTTTTGATTTTTTAGTGGCCTCTGCTGGCCACTTCATGGCAGAAGTTTTTACTCGTGGAAAATTCACCTCTGTATTGCTTCTAAAGTGTTTTCATTTCAGTGGTAACGTTTAATTTTATTTGTATGGTATCAAACTGCACCTGTAGCTGTGACCATAAGACATTTCTCATTAACAATAGTTTGTTTATCGAAATCTTACAGAAGCCCTGAGATGCTGCGGTCAGAAGGCTCCTACTCCACGGGAGGAAGACATTCTTCCACAGATTCCAACAAAGCTTCAAGCGGAGATGTCTCCCCTTACGACAACAACTCCCCGGTACTGTCTGAACGCTCGCTGGTGGCAACACAAGAAGAGGTTGCCCTCAGTCCAGACAAGCTGTATAAGGTACCTGAACAGTACACCCTGGTTGGTCATTTGCAGCCTAAGACAAAAGAGAATTCTTCTGCATCACAGGCTGGAAAAGGTAGAGTATATCCTAGTTATGTTCCTCTTCCTCAGTGAACAGTGGGTATTTCTAAAATAATTGAAAACTGTCTTCTCTCTAATGTCAGCTGCTGGGAATTGAGGAGCAGTAGTGGAAGAACCTCACAAGACATTGTTGACCAACTTCCTTTTTTTATGGTGAGCCTTAACGGCTCTGTGCTCAACCCTCCTTCTCAGCTGAGCCAGCGGTCAGGGGTGCTTTTGGTATGACATTTCTCAGAAGTTGAGCTATTTTTTAGGAAAATAGAACTCTACAAATCCTGTTCTTCAGCCTTTGTGTGCCAGCATGGCAGAGACTTATCTCTAGTCCTGCTCAGTAGGCTTTACGTCTGAGAGGTTATGCTCCAGACATTGGGAAAATCTGAGACTTAAAAACTTCCAAGTTCCAAATTTTCTCCATTTGAAAAAGATGACCTCGACTCCGTTTCTTTGCATGACAGCTGCACAGCTGTACATCTGTTACCAATTACACACTTAACAGTACTAGTGCAGGAGTCCATAATTTCCATACCTATCTAGGGAGTGCACATCTGAATGGTATGTTCTGTAAAAAGCTGTGGTTTCAGCTGATAGCTCATCAGCACTTCAGGATGCTTTTCAGTTAAAAATGTCAAAATAATTAATAATTAAATTCATGACATGCATGCATATTGAGCCAAAGTTTAAGGACTATTTTAGTTCTTAGGGACACAGATAGCTTTTTGGTGGTATTTTTAAAATCATTTTACTTTAGAGATACTGGTTAGGGACTTGATTTCCTTTGGAATTGATGGGATTTAGACAATTATCTCAATTAGATGCTTTGTAATTGCCACTGGGCTTTTGTCTTCTGTGTTACGTATCTGAAGCTCTGAATAGCTTTCAAAATTTGATCAGGTTTCTACTAAGTTATAAACAGGAAATAATACAAAGTTTTAATGTATTAACCATCTTTTGGACTTTAATATGCATGTCTATGATACTGGAGCAAGAAGAATCAGGAAATCTCTTTAGTGCCAGATGGAATCAGCAAAAGGCTGATAATATAATCCAGCACAATGTCTGATGTGTGCACTGCATTGAAACTGCAATAAGTGGCGGCACTGCATTGTAAGAAGCAAGTGACATTGCAGGTAGCTAGAGCAAGCCTTACAGTAGCACTGTAGGCTGACCACTCTGTAGCTTTCTGTGTCTTTTCTTTCATGTCTCTCTAAGTTTGCAGCAGTGTACTGTAGATTTTCATCTTTGCTTGCTGAGCTGCCTGAGAGAGCTTTGTCATTCTTCCCATTAAACAGCACACAAACAACTTCTGTTTATCACATCCTCCTGTTCTTGGTCAAATTTTGCCATTGACTTCAGGAAGGCAGTGGACTTGAGGAAAATTCTACTCTTACAGCAAATTCAGGTGTCTTCACAGAATTCATCACAAAATCTAAGCCTGAAACACCAATTAACATCAATACATTTGGTCTGTTTGTGCCAGGCGCATACTAAGCCGGATGCTAGTATATGTCAACAGTTCTGATATGTTACACAAAATTTTTTTTCAGTTTGACATATTATTCCAGTTGTATGTTTCTAAGTAATGCCTCTAAAGGGATTGATTAATAATCTTCTTCCTGCTCTTTTTGTTATTCAGATGTTTCAGAAGATAATTTTGATATCTGGGGTACCTGGCATTCAACGCTGAAAAGTGGCTGCAAAGATCCAGCAATGACAGGTCAGATGTTTCTCAGAAGTTTTAAGCCCAAATCTAGCAAAGATGATACAAACACATTCGTAGCTTTATACGCCTTGAGAAATCCCAGTGAAACCGATGGGAGAATTCATGTTGCCCAGCGTTAAACACGTACTTAAACTACTTTTAAGATCTTCAACTTTATTTATTTTGAAAAGGTGGCTGTTCAATAAAATACTGAGAAGCAGAATGGTTATACAAATGCAGCGGCATTTCAAATTGTCACGAGATAATTTAAAAGTCATTTTAAAATTACTTTTAAAAAGTTTAAGTTCTAAAAGTCATTAAAAGGTAGAAGCCTCGTGGGGATTTGAGAGCGCTCGCAGTAATGACATAAGCACGGCCTGTGAGGTTGGAAGACCGGGACTGTGGCTCTGCCTCTGGCCAGTGTAGCCTTCACAACTCACCGGCCCTTTCTGCCTTTGCTTTTCTCCCATCTGCACCCACGTCATAGAGGAACTGTGCGATTAAAACACTTCTGCCTGTTCCAGCATTTGAGAGATGTTAAGTACTGTATGGCTTTATGTAAGAGCGAAGTACTAAAGTCACCCAGTAATACAGTAGACATAGTTCAGAGCATAAATGTTAGAGGCTGCTGGATGTGGTAGCCGGACAGATGCAGGGCTGCTGCTCCGTGTCCCCAGGTCCAGCCAGTAGCGAGGCTGCAACCCTTTATCACAGAGCCGGAGGGTTAAAGGCCCGCCACTCTCTTCTGCTATATGATGCAGGGAAAAAGCAGTAACCCTTTAAAACGTCACGCAAACGCTTCTGTGGCAGACAGACTGATGTTCTCTTTCTCGCTCTGGCCACCAGGTTCTTACGGAAACATTTATGAAAGTAGCTTGCTGCGACCCGGACAGTGCTCTCTTTCCCAAGGGAACCTCTCCATGTATTCTCCTCGGTGGCAGGGCAGCTCCTCCGAATTGGACAGCGGCAGGCAGGTCATGCGAAGGAGTCAAACCACGGCTGCCATCCCCGAGTGTAAGCTCCGTCCCACGGTGTCTCGAGTGTGCAGCAACCCGCAGATCGAAGCGGGCAGCAGGAGTTCAGAGCAGTCACATTCGAAAGCTGAGCGGCACTTGACTTTAAGCAGTGCAGAGGACCTCACTGAGCATGACTCGAAGCCGGGTTGTTTGCAAAGCTCAGCCAAGGCCTCCTGCAGAAAAGAGAGGCCGCCCCCCCCGTACCCCGGCCCC